CAACAAGTTCACGATCCTAATTGTCAGACCCTGTAAATGCACTTTTCTTTGTACCTATGTTACATAATCAGAGATCATGATCTGGTTAAAGCAAATATTTTAGCAATGAAATTATATGGGACTATTAGGTGTTGAGAAAAGTCATGATGTACTTCGTCTATGTTTTTCAAAGGGAATTTATTTATATAAAGAAAAAGATCAATCAATGATTATATTGCCCATTTTGTTTGATAACCTTTTGCTATCTTTCAGTGAGCTTCATACTTCCTCGTTCATAGAAGGACCTGTCTTTATTTGCAAAAAACTGAACAAGGTGCTGATTTACAGCCTCATCTGAATTGAATGTTATACCACGCAAGGAGTTTTGAAAAGAGCGAAACAAGTGGAAGTCTGACAGCGTAAGGTCAGGTGAGTATGGTGGGTGTGGCAACACATCCCATCCAAGCTCCAATAATTTTTGACGGGTGACCAAACTTGTGTGTGGTCTTGTGTTGTCACAAAGGAACACAACTCCTTTACAATTAACAAGCTCTGGACGTTTCTGGATGATAGATTCGTTCAAACTGTCCAATTGCTGACAGTACACATTCAAATTGTTTCGTTCCTTGGTAGGAGCTCAAAAAACACGACACCTTTAAAATCCCACCACACTGAGAGCATAACCTTCCTCTGATGAATGTCTGCTTTCAATGTCACTTGAGGTGAATCATCATGTCGGGACCAAGACCATTTGCGCACCTCATTTTTGTAAACTTCTCATCACCAGTTATCCGTCGCTTCAAAAAAGGATAGTTTTCTTCACGTTTAACGAGCATATTGCAGATGTTTATAAGTGCCATCAAATGAATTTAAGTTCATGTGGAACTCAAATATGGAGCTTGATTACGTATCCCAGCTTCTTCAGGTGGTCATGAACACTAGAATGATGGATGTTCAACGTTTCTGCAGTCTCTCGTGTCATGTAACATGGGTTTGACTCGATCAGTGCCTTTATTTTGTAGTCATCAACTTCACTGGGCCTCCCTGACCGAGGAGCATCGTTGAGATCAAAATCACCAGCATAAAAGTTGTGAACCATCGTTGGCACTGACGTTCTTACAGAGCATTGTCACCGTAAACTTTATGCAACTTTTCACAAGCTTGATGCGCGTTTTTCCCTTTATGGAAGTAAAACAGTAAAATATGGCAAAAATGCACAGTTTGATCTTCCATCTTCAACTTGTTGTAAAATCTCCAAAACTCAACTATTCAATTTATTTTTATAATGAAGCTAGAACTGTCAGCTGTCAAATGACATAGCAATAACATAGATGCAAATGACTCTAGTACTTCCAAAAATGAACTAGTGCCATCTATTGCAAGCATGCATCATGACTTTTCCGAAGACCCAATAGATCCATCCACTAGAGAAGTTGCAGACTGATATGTTTCTTTTATATGCTCAAGTTGTTTTTTAGTTTGAGTTAGTTGACAATATATAAAAATTAAAAAAAAACCCACTGGATTGTTTGTTGTATGCATTTTCATCTGCAGTATTAGTCTTTGGAAAATTTAAAATCAGAAGTAAACAATCTGGTGTTATTGCTTTATTTCTGAAATGAAGATTTTTGATATTATTTCTAAATGTACTGTTTTGATATTTCTGAACATGCTAATTTTCTAATGATTAAACCCCCTTTTGATACATCTAGGATTATTTTATCTGAGAAGTCGTAATTTCTTAAAAAAAAAAAAAAGTAAAGTTTAAAAAAAATAAAGCACTATGGGCCCTTCTTGAAAAATCTACTTATAAAGAAATACAGCCGATTGAGGCATACATCAGGAAAAAGAATGGTGGTAAGCATCTTATCCAACTCAATATAAAATGAATAGGAAAAAAATAAAATGAATAGGAGACAAGTAGTGCAGATATAGTTAATAAATAGACTATAAGTGTTACTAACTTTGAGTGAAAAAGTTACTCAAACAAATTAGGAAAGGTAGAGCAAAGTTATACCAACTACAGGAGTGCTAACGTCCTCCTCTCTCATGGCAGGGGTTGATACTGTCTAAATTTGAAACATCAAAATTTTAAAGAAACACACCAAACTGTAATGTTCTTCACAATCTCTTTTCTTAGTTGTAGAGGACTCATTTAGGAAATAAATCAATAATTATTTGAATTGTACTTTGGTTTCTTTTTCTTTCATTAAATTCAAGCAAAATTGTTTAATACCTTTTATTTAAAGTAGCATTTCAGATATGGTTACTTGGGGAATCATAACCCTATTGTACTTTAGGTAGTTGGACATTTTCCATCAGAAAACTTTTAAAAAAACAAAGGAACCTAAAAATAAAAATTCATTACAATATAGCCCAACTTTTACAAAAAGCATATCTATCCAGTCTTCCTATCTCCCTCCCTTCTTTTTTTCTGCCTGTATATCTGCAAAGAAATATATCAGAAATGAAGGTCAACCTGTTAATGATGATGATTATTTACAGGGAAGTTTTAAAAATTCTTTGCACCTTTTTGTATCACTTAATTCTTAACAATGAACAGGCATTATTTTTGGAAAAATTAGAAATTTTTTCTTTACAAAAACACAACTTTATGAAAGTACAGTTAAGGAATTCCTATTGAAAATTAAGTATGGTTCAGATATGTAGCTTTTTGGTTATCTAACTTCATGTGGGGTCAAAAGCAGTCACCGAGGGTAATGGATAATAACTAGGTCCCTCAAATCAGAAAGCCTCTGGGGTGGTAGTGATGTGGAAAGGGTGTTTCAAAACACCCCATCCTCAGAATTCTAATTTAATACAATAACATTTATTGAGGGCCTGCCGAGTGGCACGTTGGTTAGAAGTTGGCTTGGGATGCCAGCTCTGAGCAGCAATAACCAGTTCAGGTCCCACCTGAGGGCCAGTGACGCTGCACCCTCTACAGCTAAGACGGTAAACAACAGTCGACCTGGAGCTGGGCTGCTGTGAGTCGCTGGCAATGGCAAAGGCTGCAGTGGGGTTGGCCAGCGTGAGCTGCCGTGAGTGGCCATCAGATGGCCAGAGAGAGACTGCCTCACCCGGGAAGAGCACAATGATCACAATACTAACATGGGCCAGTGAAGAGATGTCCTCCACATCTAGACTGAAGAACAAAAGGACACAACTTGTCTGTTCCCCTTCCCCAATTCCCCAATGCTGTTCCCCTCACCCAATTCCCCAATAAAATCTTTAAAAAAATAATAATATTTATTGAGTGTATACAATGTACCAAACACAATCCTAAGTATTCATTAAATTCTAATAACAAGCTTAGGAGGTAGCTAAATTTTCCAGGTTTTACAATGAGGAACAGAGATCTTACATACCTATCAGAGGAGAAGCTGGATTTAAATCCACACATCTTTCACGATCAATGTTTTTAATCACTATACCAGTGAATCCCACACTTTGCTGCACACTGAAATGACCCAGGGACTTTTAGGAAACATTGATGCCTGGCTCCCACAGGCAAATATTCTGATTTAATTAGCACAGGGTGTGACCTGGGCAACTGGATGTTAAAAAATTCTCCGGTTGATTCTAAAGTGCAGTGAAGTGTGGGGACCACTGCACTACACTTTTCTGCCTCCTGGCCGTCCTTGGTTAGTGGTTATCAAGCCTGAATGGACATCAGAATCACCTGATGATTTTCAGAACTTCAAAGCCCCTACCCCACCCCAGGCCAATGGACCTGGGCTTAGGTATTTTTTAATGATTCTCAGGTGATCCCAGTCTACAGCCATGGCTTGGGAACCACAAGGCTTAGGGAGATATCAACTGCCCTCCACATTAACAATCAGTGTCCACATTAGTGTTTTTAATTAGAGGAGTAATCTTTCAAATGGGTGGGACACCAAAAAAAAGAAGAAAAATAAGTTAAGAACCACTGTCAAGTGGTCAAATGCCAGAGAGCATGGTAAAAATTCACCTACATTCTCATAGGTTCAATTATTCTAGAAAGAATGGCTTTCTTCAACTGTCTCTGAGATTGGATTTAGTGCATTTTCTAATAAGAATGTGGCCTACGGGTTTCCTTAGCTACAGGATTTTTCTTTTTCCCCCTTCAGGTAAAGGTGTTCCTACTGGCATTGGTCTTCATCTAGGACTACCACAGGTATAATGTATAATATAATAATGGCTAATATGTATTGAGAGCTTACAATGTACCGGGTACAATTCTAAGCCTTAGATTTGGCAACCTGAGGTCAGAGATTCTAATATAATAGAATAATCTTTGGTTCTCAGGATACCCAGTATGAGAAACTACATTAATTAATCAGCTTGTGGGTAGCTCTCAACCATTCCTTTCCCAGGAACACACCATTCCTACCCCTAGTAGCCAGGTACTGAACACAAAGCTAAAAATATCCTATCAGTTTGCCTCTAGACAGGTTCTAAATTCAGTTAGGAGCTAAGTTCAAGGTCAAAGTCTCTGGTAATCGCATAAGAACCCTAATTTTGCTAATGAAAAAGAGGTCCTGATGCTTTAGCAACCAGACATCTAGATGGCAGAACTGTCTTATGAAAATCAGCTAGCTCTATTTTTATCAATATAACACAGTCTACAAAGCCATGAGTTTTAAAATTCTTAAAAGGTTATCACTCTTCCAGATCTTAAACTGTCAATTATCCCTGGTTATTCCTCACTTCTGACTCTCTAATATAACCAGGTCAGGTGTATATATGTTTGCAACCAGGACCCAATGCACAAGCACTCCCACATTTGCTGAGCCTTTCTTTAGGTGCTGGTCTGGATTTGCTCAGACTCATACAGGCAGCAAACAAGGTAACAACTGAAACTTCAGGGGCCAGAAGAGAATGCTCCAAATGATTTGAAGGGCAAGTTATTACCAATTACCTACAATGAAAGAAATTCAGCATGGCTCTTATAGTTGTGGTTTTAAGCAGAACTGAATGCTGGTGAGCCTGTGAGAGTAGGTTAGAAGTGAAGTACACACCTAGATAATTCAGTCATTCACCTGAATGTGGATAAATATCTTCCCAACATGAATATTTCAGTTTACAACTAGATGACAACAATTGGTCAACAAGTTCAATTGCTCCTTGAGGCCGCACCTGAAACTGACAATAAAACTCATCAGCAGTCAAGGCCTATCTTCTTTTCACTGTTAGCAGTGTATTTCTATCAAGTTATGTATTGTAGATATAAATTAATGAGAAAGGGAGCTTCGGGTTACTTAAAATGTAAACAATTACATGATAACTAAATGCAGTTTGTGATCCTATACTGGAAAAAATATTGAAAAAACCAAAGCTGAAACAAACTATAAATTAGATAAAAGTATATCAATGCTATGTATTAATAAATCTAATAACTATACTGTGGTTGTGTAAGATAATGGGAATGGAAAGATAGACAATTACAGCACGGCTAGAACCTACAGAAAGAAGGGGTAGAGTGGCATGAGTTGAGGTTGGGAAGAAGTTAAGGTAGTGGTAGAGAGTTTGTGCAATGTAGTTTTAAATAGATAAGTGATATGATTTGATTGCCATTTTAAAAGTCACTTCTCTTGCTACAAAGAGAACGGAGGGAGAACAAGAATGGAAACGGAAAAGGCCCATTAGGCAGTTGATGTAGGTGATAATGGTAGCTTGGTTTGGGGTGAAGGGAAGGGCAGTAGCGATGGAAAAGAGTGGATGGATTCAAGATATTATTTTGAAGATAGAATCAATAGGACTTACTAAAGTGAGTCATCAGAGGCATATTCTAAATTTCAGTCATGTCCAGATATTGTGGTTCCATGAACATAACCGTGCTCTCCCATGTGTCTGTGTTATGCACATGCTCTTCTTGGAATATCCTAGCCCTCCCCTAGCCTATCACCCTACTCACTTGGTACACTATCCATTCTCCCTTCAGGATTGAGCCCCAACATCACCTTTTCCACAAAGCCTTCCCTGACACTTAGAAGTTATTTTCTCCATATCCCCTTAGCACTTCACATATGCTTCTAACATAATAGTTACAGACTGCACTGCAATTATTTGTTTTTATGTTTCCCAAGTTAGTCTGGAGACATGCCAGGGCAGAAATCATATTCTATTCACCTCAATTTGAGACTCATGATAATGCTTAGAAAACCGTAGACTCATTAATCAAAATCTGTTGAACAAATGTGCCATTTCATGTAATATTATACATTCCTTCATTCCTGAACTAGCAAAAGCTCATTTGTAAAGGTAGGTATTATTGCACATATTTTTATTTGTGCTCATTTCAAATCAACCCTCAATGATTCCATATTTGGAGAAATATATATGTGCTTAGTTTAGGTTGTCATACAAATTTATTAGATTCTGTTTAATGATTAGCTTGTGCTCCTTGCCTTCACAAACTAAACAGCATACATAATGTATAGGGAGGTGATTTTGAGGTTAGATCTCTGTTCATAAACCAACTTCAATTTACTGACCAAATGGCCTTGGGTACCTTATTTAATCTCTCTGGATCTTAATTTGCTCAACTGTATAATAAGGTTAACATGTCTGTCATAGGGTTGTCCTGGGGCCCAAATGTGAATATAAAGTAACTAGCCCAAATATACACTTAATACACATTAGTGTCTGGTTCTCCAACTTGCCTTTTTTACAAGGATGCATACAGCCGTTGCAAAACTATACACAAAATGTTTCTGGCCATGGCACTTTCTATACCTAAGGGCTAAGAATGGAAACCATCTTACCTCCCAGACCTCCCACCCCAACACACATAGCTTGTGACACTGAGGTCCAAAACTACTTACTCTGGACATAGTTCACTGTCTACATTAACATGACTTTATTATTTCTTTGTTTTCATTAGCATAACTTTACTATTCTAGAAGACTCCTGCCCAAATATCTTGATTGCTCATTACAGGAACTACCTGAAACACCTATCAGTTCTTCAATAGAAAGCATCAACAGTTTATGCCTAAGATTCCTTACACTCCTCACCTTGATCTTTCTGTCAATCTAAAAACTATTAAGTATCCATTCCTAATCAAGCCATCTCCTCCACTCTCCTGCCATCTCACCTCACTAAAAGACCAGCCTTAAACCATATTTCAAATCCTCAATAAAATTTTACCTTGCCTTCTCAGTGATAGACACTACCAAAATTCTGTTGAGGTGGTGTTCTCCCTTACTCCAGTAAGCCATAAACTCAGCTTTGTCTTATCAAAAGGTCTGATGGTGATATTTGGGAAGCTGACATTTGTCAGGACAGTACATCTATAAGCATAAAGACAGGCAGAGGGATTTCCCCACAAAAGTCCAGAAATACTCTAAAAATGAACTAAGGGAAATTATATACCAGGCAAAATATGTCTACTAACATGTCCATTAATAAAAAGGAAATGGGTTTGTTAAGACCACAATAAAGTTTCACTGCAAAATTCCAGAGGTGGCCAATGCATTTTAAAAACTATTTTTGATGAAATCTGATGTTACAGTGTTTTTAATACCTTCCTCATTGCAGAGCTGTTCAAAGATGACTCTGAATCAAGAAAAACAGGGTCTCATGTTATCTTTGGAGCAACCAAAAATGCTAGGGCAGGCATAAAAAGTGACCATAAGAGAAATGACCAGTTTTTAAATTAGATCCTGTAGAATGAAAATTCAGATCCATCATCAACTTCGCTAAGTGTAAAGAACACTGAAGAGTAAACAAATAAAATGGAGTAACTATACTCAAGCTGCTAAATTACTAAAATTAAGTAGGTTCAGGTATGAGGAAACAATTCTATTATTGTTTAAATGCATGGGAACGTAACAATTTTCAACTTTCCAGTCTTGCATCAGTGCCTATATATACACCAAATCTCTAGATAACCCTCTGATTCATTTACGAAGGAAAAGAATGTTCAGTATCCAGACCACTGGTCATCTAGAGGATTATCATCTCTGACCAATCCGGAGACTAAGGGCTGATTCTTCTTTTATATTCTTTTTACTATATACTTTTTACATAAGAACCCTCAGCTTTTCTTTTTTCTTCAGAACACTCTGGTTATTGTTTAGTAGTATTTTCTGTTTACAAACCCGGAGACCCTTGAATAAATCTTTATCATTTATTTTTAGCCAAAGCCTCCGGATTTCACTAGGTCAACACTAATTTCTATAGGGTCTAATCGTGGCCCAGTGGCTTTCCATCCAGGTAAAGCACACAAAGCGGTAGGTGGGAAGGAGTGAGGGAAGCAACATGTGCCTTTCAAAGTTAACTTTTCACCCTGAGAAACTGATTTGGGCCGCATGCCGGACCCTACACCGGGTTTGCTTTTTAGCAGTTGAGGCATCTTCCAAGAGGGAGGCGGCAGAAATACACGAGGTTTCCTCAGAACCCGCCCTCTCGCTAAGGACCAGCCCGCGGTGGAAAAATGGCTTTGGGAAGCAGGATTCCGCGGGGACCCTCCTTTTGCCAGTTCCCAGGTTGGTACCTGACAAGCGATGGACCTGCGGAAGCCGCACGCCATATCGGGCTTCAAGAAGCGCGTCCCAGCCTCCTCTGCAGCCCCGCCTCCGCGCACCGGAAGCCCTCCCCCCGGAGGGTGCTGTCAGCCAATCAAGAAGCTCAGTGGACCGTCACTAACCTCTGCCCTGTGCCGCGAGGGAGCGCGGGAAATCCCGAGCATCTGGAATCCCGCGGGCCTTGTGGACCATGGCCACCTCTTCGGTGTCCAAGGTACGTGGGGGCGGGTGCCCACTAGAACTCCGCCGCCGCCTCATTCCCTTTTGAAGAAGTGATGAAGCAGAATTACGCAGGCCTCGGTGTACCGACTCCAGGGGAAGGAGCGGCGGGCAGAGATGAGGCGTCTTTGCTCTAGGTCCAGTTGAGGCTGCATGGGGAGCGAAGACGCCCACCTGCCTTAGTGTTCTGGCTAGGAGGATTTTTAAGTTCTAGTTTGTGGAGCTGGGATGCTCGGAAGATGTGCCCCACTGTCTCTTCCATTTTCCTCATAAATATTTATTGTGCGCCAAGCACGTCGGGCGACAGTGGTAAACAAAATAGACGACGTGTGGCACTCAAGAAAACAAAACAAAAAAAAACCCCACAGATAAACTGACCATAAATTGTGATAAATCTTAGCAAGAAAGAAAGTTCGAAGTGAGAGAACAGAAGAGCGACTAGAACCTAATCTAGATTGCCGCGGTCAACAAAGGCCTTTGAAGAAAGTGACATTTTAGCTGAGACCTGAAAAATGTGTAGAAGTTAGGTAAAATATTGGGGTACTGAGGGTCGCTTCCAGCATAGAGAATGACATATTCTTTGGCCCAGAAGATAGAAATAAAGTGACATACCGGGGGGTGCCTGCCAAAAAAATGTATACACAAGGCTTGTATTCATCATTTGTTATCCGTGTATATTGAGTATTACAATTTTGCTAGTCTTTTTCTTTCTTAAAATGTGCATACATTTTTTTTGGCACCCTCTGTTTACACTGTTGGTTTTAGAACTATCCTGAGATGACTTTTTCTAGGTATAGTTTGTTTTCCATAGAAATGACACTCTTAAGAAGCTGCCTATCATGCATGACTTTAGGAGTGTTAGAATAAACATAGGACCAGTAGCTTGAGGGCTTTGTATCACTAGTCATATAATAACATGAAAACTAAATATAGCTAGGAAATTACCAGGAAAATTACTTGGCAAGCAGTCATTCTGTATACTGATTGCCTTTATGTAGATGTTAACACTGTCCTAAACATTGGAGAAACGATTACGAACTAAACGTAGTTTGTGCTCTGAAGGTGCTTACAAACGATTTGGGAGAGACAAGCCCTAAATAACTTACATTCAGTGAAAGTGATTTAAAACAATGCAAAATAAAGATACTCAAGTACTATGAGATCTTAGGAGAAAGAATAATTCTGACTGGAGAATTGGGGAAGGTTTCCCAGAGCAGGTGGGTTTGAGTTGCACTGTAATGGACAATTGAATAAGTTTATCAGATGAAGAAAGGTGAAATGATAGCCAGAATGATCTATTGCCTATCACAGTTGAAGGTACTTGGAGTTTAATTAAAAAATACTTCTCTTGAGATGAGAGAGCGTCACCATTTTTTCATCTTCATTTTTTTTTTTTTTTAGCTGAGCCATCTTGCCACCTGTTGGCAGCTCAGCTCGGGCGGGGACTCAAACTGCTGTTGCTCAAGAGCTCGCACTCTTGAGGGAGCTCTTAACCAACTGGGCCACTGGGCGGGCCCTTATCTTCTTGATCTTAATGTGTAGTATTAATGTTCTCTAAATTTTAGACAAATGGAATCTTTCTGAGTTTAAATTTCATCAGCTCTTATTTTCTTTGCCTCTTAGATCAAGTTGCAAAGAGCAAAAACAAAGATGGGAAGGAGGAGAAAGAAATGGACAGTCCTCATACTGTTTAAAGAGTTTTCCTTCTATAATTCAGATAGAAAAGAGATGATTTCTTAGCACTTTAAAGAAACACTGTTTTTAAAATTCTGTTTATCAGTAAAATAGTTTAATAGATTTATCTGCTCCTTGGCTACTTTGACTTTATGCTTTTTTTCTTTTTTATAGGGTTGCTTTGTGTTTAAGCCAAACTTCAAGAAAAGAAAGAACTCTGTGCCAATAGGTAAGATGTCTTAATATCAAATTTCTTAGTTTTCCTCCTCAAATCTTGAGTTAGTAATTGAATTTAGTATTTCTCTTTTCTAAGCTCGGCTTACATACCATGTTGATGTAGGAGTTGTGTTCCAGGGTATAGGTCAAAGGGATAAATGTACACCCCAGGGTTTTAATCTAAAAGGGAATACAAATAATACCGTCAAAAGGCAAATTGGAAAGTAAATTTCCTTCAAAAGATATGTCATCATTCTTTAAAAGAGATTGTCTTAAAAATCTCAGTGGCTCCCTGAGGTGAGGTAGGAGGAATTGACTGCAAAAGGGCAGGAGGGACTTTTCTTGGGAGAGAAATGTTCCCTAGATTGAGGGGGTGATTATGTGATTGTATACTTTTGTTAGGACATATCATGTTAAAATGGGCACATTTTATTATTTGTAAATCATACCTCAATAAAATTACATTATAAAAAAAGATACTCGGGCCAGCTGAATGGTGCGTTGGTTAAAGAGTTGGCTTGGGACACCAGCTCTGGGCAGCAGAGCCCTGGTTCGGATCTCACATTAGGGCCAGTAATGCTGCGCCCTCTACAGCTAAGATGGTGAGCAACAGCTCGACCTGGAGCTGGGCTGCTGTGAGTCGCTGGTAACGGCGTAGGCTGCAGTGAAGCTGCAGTGGGCTGCCATAAGCTGCTGTGAGTGGCCGGCAGCTGTTGTCAGCGGCCGGCAGCCAGCGTGAGCTGCTGTGAGCCGCTGTGAGCGGCCGTCCAATGGCCAGCGACCGATCTGCCTCAGCCCGGAAGAGCGCAATGATAATACCAACATGGGCCAGTGAAGCAACGTCCTCCACAGCTAGACTAAAGAACAAAAGGACAGCGACCTGTCTATTCCCCTTTCCTGATTCCCCAATGCTGTTCCCCTCCCCCAATTCCCCAATAAAATCTTTAAAAAAAAAAAGATACTGTCTTCACTTCATTAATCTCAGAGTATCTGTTTAGTGATCAAGTTAAGAATGGTTGACTTCAAATAAATTACAATATTACTGTCAGTCAGAAAGTTAATTGCATTGATTGTCAATTGTGGCTGCAGATTAGAATCATTTGGGGAACTTAAAAAAAGTTTTTTTTTCTGATATAATCGTAGATTCACATACAGTTGCAAGAAAGAATATAGAGAGTTCACCTGTACACCTAGCTATCCCCAGTGTAACATTTCGCATAACTATAGTACAGTATCAAAACCAGGAAACTAACATTGGTACAATCTATTGACCTTATTTCAGATTTCAACTTGGTGAACTTAAAGATACCAGTGCCCACACCGCAACCCAGACTAATTGAGCCAAAGTCTCTGGGAGCGGAACCCAGGTATTGGTATTTTTGTAAAGCTTTTCACAGGCTGGTTGAGTATTACTATTCGGTGTTCAGCACTGTGAAGCTTAATTCTGATGGAAAAATTATGATGTGGAGTAAGCATGCTCATGCACTAGTTTTAAAAGAGAAAAACTGAACTACACCATTGTTTGACTAAGGAATTCTAACTTGAATATCTAGAATAGAGTTTTTCTAAATCATCACATACAAGCCTTAACCCTCTGTCGGGCGCAACTGATCTCACAGATTCATTGCACATAAAGATACCGCTATGAAATACGTCTTTCTGTACTGAGTCACAAATACGACTGGCGATAGGTTACGGTAGAGGGGGAAGATACGGAAGCGATGAGTCACGGTACTTAACTGTTACATATTTGAAAATTTGTGTGCAGTGAATCTGTGAGATCAGTTGCGCCTGATAGAGGGTTAAGGCATTATTAATCCTTCATTTTGAGACCAGCTAGATAAGAGACCTGTGTTTAACAGCAAATAATTAAATAATGGTCCATATTGAGGGGAAAAGAGGGTAGGAGGTATAACTCGTAATAAGAATCTAGTTTCTCATTAAGAGACTAAACAGTGATCCCAAGCTTTACACCCTTACAGACTTAATCTCAAAGAAACCTGAAGTTTTTTCCGTGTTCTTCTCCCCCTGAAAATGAAAACTGACAGTGATGGAATTGGAAATATGAACAAAGAATAGCTACATTATAAGTTATTTTCAGTGATTGACTTAAGAACATATTTTTGTTGTTGGAGATTGCTAAACTTAACTAGAAATAGTTCATTTTCAGAGAAAAGACAGTGTCCCTCCATTAACCATGAATGATACATAGCATGAAATGATATCTGATATCATCAGCAATGTCATTATAACTAATAAAATTGCTCATATTTATTGAGTGTTTATTATGTGCCAGACTATTCTAGCACTTTATGTGTTAATTTGTTTAATCCTCTCAGCAAACTATGAGGAATATATTATTATTATCTCCATTATAATATATGAGGATACTTAGACATATAAAAAACTTTCTCAGTGATAGTGCTAGTAAGTGGCAGAGCTGGGATTTGAACCCAAGCTGTCTGATTCTAGAGTACATAGTCTAACCATTACTTAATACCTCTCATAATACAAGGTGAATTTTTGCTTAGAACTTTTTGTATTGATTTTCAGCCATAATTTATTAAGATTTGTTTAAAGTGTTTAGTATTAGTAAACCTGATACGTACAATTGTACAATTTGGATTTTGCTTTGAAGTGCATTATATATTTTTTCATCATGCTAATCTAAGACCAACAGATACTGTTATAATAATGACGATCTTAGAGGAAATGACCCTGATTTTAATATGGATAGAGCAGGAATGAGAAAAACATATCTAGATTTTAGCACTTGCCTCCGCTGGCTTCAATTCTTGAAACAAGATTACCTGAAGAAATAGGACGATGCTCTGCATTGTGCCTCCACCTACCCTGTCCCCTGACTTGGAGACCCTTGGGTATATACTTAAGACTGGTAACTCTCCCTCAGTATTCTGGAGAGAGGGATGGGGAAGGAGGGAGGTGGGGGGGGCGGGGGAGAGAGAGAGAAAAGAGAAGGGAGGGGAGGAGAGAGGAGAGGGGAGGGAGGGAGGGAGACTGGCAGTGGCACTGGCACTATAGGAGATGTTCACACTGAAGTAAAGCACCATGGGTAGGAGCAGGAGGGAACCTGTCAGCAGTGAGAGCTTATATTCTTTAGCTTCTCTTAGTGCTTATTTTCTACTTCCTTGATCGATAAACAAGAGAAGTCATGGTAATGGGTTCAAGTGTCCTACTGCTTTTGTTTCCCAATGTCTAACAGTTTTGTTTTTTATATATACTGTATTTTAATGCAGCATTATTCAGCACATAAAAAAAATCATGTCTTGATTTGCCACTTTAACATTTTTACGATTTTGCTCATTTTCAAAGTAAAATGACTGTTTTTCTATTTAAGGCTACCTTGTTATTCTGCTTTGTCTCTTAGTAATGGTGTATCTCCCTTTTTTGTTTTTTGTTTTTTTTGAGGTGCTCAATAAACGTTTATTACATTAAAAATACATCAGTGGGCCTTAGGCACTCAGGGCTCAGACCCGGGTGGCCACCACCTCTGAACCTCTCCTTTTTTTGTTTTTATTTTATACTATAACGTTGTCTATCATTTTACCATATGATGAGTTCAGTATATTCTAAGCCTTTTGATAAAAGTTAAAAATCAATGTTTGCCAAAAACTCTGAGTCAACTATGATTCGCAAGAAAGTTCCTTAACATGAAAGAGAATTTCTATTCCAAACTATCAGTTAACATTAAAACTTGATGGTAGAATACTAGCAGCTCTGTGAAGTCAGAAACAAAATGTGTAGTTTTCAATTATTATTTAATATCATGAGAGTTTGGCTGTTACAATCAAATACCTAGAAGTAAACAATAAGAAATATGAAGGAAAGTAGAAAACTATAAGAAATGTAAAATATTTAATTAAAGGAAGAGACTGTGGTGTTTTTGGATGTGAATTTTTAACATTAAAAATGTCATTTCTCCCCAAATCAATCTATAGAATTTATTTTATCCAGTCACAATACCAGTGTAATTATTTTTGAGAAATGACAAAATTAATGTAAAAGAATGGCTTAAATTTTTTGAAAAAGAATGACAATGTTTGGTGGTGGTAGGAGGAAGACTTGGATTTATTCAATATTAGAATGTGCTACAAAACTACAATAATTAAAACAGTTCAGGACTGGTATGGGAATAGAATTGGATTCAGTAGAACAACTAAAATGTTCAAAAATAGTTGCAAGTGTATATATCAGTATTTAGATGATAAGGATATCTCAAATCAGTAGAGAAGTTACAGATTATTCAATACATGAGTGTCTTTCAAACTGAAGGTTATATATAATTGACGTATGAGTCATGAAATCAATTTAGTGGGTCATGAGAATTTCAAAAAACAGAATAGAAAACATTTGCTGTCGTATGATGAGGATAAGCATTGTTTTGTGGGACTTTTGTTCATTTCCGTTATGTGTATGTGTGTTGGATTCTGATGTAAAACACATTCCTTAATGTGGATCATGGTTGAAAAAGTTAGAAAACCGTTGCAATAAATGGTGTTTTGATAAATGGCTAACCATTTGGAGGAAAACATTTTAAAAGTATATAAAATAATACAGACAGACTAAAAAAGGCTCGGCTAAACTACAATATGTCAGTTGAATAAATGAACAAGAATAGTAGTAGTAAGAATCTCCTTAATAAAGGAGAGCTCAAAGCAGATATTTGAAGCAAAACATACAAGGCCTTAGGATAAGAGCAAATAATGAAAATATGTTAATAATAAATGTATGTACCTTAAATCAAAACCATTAAATAAAAACTGTTAGAAATTCAAAAGTAAATGATAGAAATGTAATCTAAAAATTAAAGATTTTTAATCTTACAGATGCAGTTAATATAGTTAAGAATATAAGATATATAAATAAGACTAATATAAATTAAATAATATAAAAGATATACATATATATTTTGATACATATAAAAAAGTTCAACCTCATCACCTACTATGTAACTTTATACAGAGATTTTCTAACTTATATAAAAAGAGAAACTGACATTTCTTTCTGTGTTTTTAGAGGACTATTTTAATAAAGAGAAAAATGAGTCTGAGGACAGTAAGCTTCGATTTGAAACATATCAGTTGGTATGGCAGCAGATGAAATCTGAAGCTGAGGTGAATATTTTTTGTAATAACATGTCTAATACTATAAATTTCATGATTGTTGCCTCCCATCTTCTTTTCCACCAATTTACAAGAGTTTGATGAAATATTAGTAATATTGGTCAAGCATAATCTGTATATACTAAAAAACCCCTCATGTTCCAAGCATTAAGCATAGCTTCAGGTACTGGAACATATGTTTATAATGATAGCTATAAAGACAAGGGGTCCTTTACATATCCTCACACCACTGAAATGGTGGTACTCTTTAAATTATCCATTTGGTTACACAAGTAAGAAGTCTAGCTATTTCTAAACTACTTCACCCTCTCATCCTCATACCCAGTTACCATGTTCTTTATATTTCAGCTCTGAAAAATTTCTTCACTATAGCAGACTTGTAGCTATAGGGCTAACATCTTGAGTGGACTTGTTTTGTTTGACCAACAGTGGTTTCTGTTTTGTTTTGTTTTTTAATGCCTTGGGAGGGTTATTCATTTTCAACTTTACTACTGCTTCCAACCATTATTTATTGCTTTATACCTAGTGGCTTTGCTCATTCATGTTCCATGTGACCCTTGAACGTATTTGAGTTTGTGGTTTCCAGTGTAGGTCCTCTTTATTTCTTAACCTGGATTGTCCTAACTGATCTCTGCCTCTGATGTAAAACCCTGCACGTCTGTCACTAGTCCCTGTGGCACCACTGGCCAAATTAGAGAAGTCCTTCGTTTGGGCAGGCTACAAGGGTTTTCCAGCCTCACTGTCAGTACAGCCTCTCTGATCCTCTCAATTCTGGCCTTTGCAGTGCTGCCAGATCAACCCGTCTTAGCCCTGATTTAATCATGCCTTTACTTCAAATCCCTTCAGCGGTTCTCCCTACAGGATAAAATCAAAACCCTTTAACATCAAATATTTATTTTCTTGGTTTAGCCCCTTGCTTATTTGTCCAGTCTCATTCCCTACCACTTCTCTTGTTCTTTATGCTTAGCTGTATCTGTGGTTCCCCAGATAAGTTTGTTATTTGACTCCTCCACTCCCCATTCGTTCTGACTTTTACCTACCATCACCCCCTCCATCACCTACTCTAATGCTTTGACTCCTCAACTGAAGTTAGATGGTCCTACTCTTTGTTCCTATATTATCATAGCACTCTACACAATGTATTTTAATTGGTAAGTGTTCTTGCTCTTTTTCTTTACTTTTTTAGGGTAGAGACTATTTTTCATTTGCAAGGTGGTTAGTCAGTGTTTGTTGAATGAATGAATGAGATTCCATAATGAGGAAATCCAAAGCACTGATCATTGGAGATTTAAGGAAAAAAATTTATTTCATCATGATTATATTTCATCATGATTGTAATTTTACATATACGTAATCTTTGGAATTGAATTCATGACAATTTTCTTTCCCAAACTTGGAAAGACATCAGATTACTAGTAATAATAATCCATAAAGTTTTGTGTGTTCTATATAGCGACTGCAAGAGGAATTAAATAAAAACCTGTTTGACAGTCTAATCGAATTTCTGCAAAAGTCTCATTCTGGATTCCAGAAGAATTCAAGAGACTGGGGCTGTCAAATAAAACTCAGAGAAATTCCAACTGCTGCTCTTGTTCTAGGTATGTAACGTGTGTTTTTTTTTTAGTTGGTGGTTTTGTTTTTAGAATAGTGGGGTATAACCTGTTCTGATAAACCTGTTTTGTCTCTTTCACTTGCAGAATTAAACCAATTATAGTTTGTTAGGCATATACTTTCAAAACCAATAACAGTTCCTTATACTGAGTATGCATCTGTAAATTAAAAGAAGTTGAGCTAGGGTTAGCTAGTACCCTCCTCAACTTTTTGTCTGAAAAATGAAGGGGAAATATATTTGTGTTACCCTTTTTTCCTTAGTTATTTTGTGAAAATATATGAGATTTTAACTTGGTAGTAAATAAACTACTAGTATGTTAATAGATTGGATGTTTATACTTTTTTATCATGCCTTCAGTGCGATTACTCTGTGACCTTAATTTTATTTCCCTGTCCTTAGTTTTTCAGTCTTGGATTGTTTCATAATATTGTATTAATATTAATTGTTCAGAAGGCAGTTTGGATGAATTATATATAAATTGCTTTCCAGACTGCAGGTTGTAAATTTTTAGGTACTTAAATATCCATCATTAATATCCCATTTTAACCAAACATCTGGATTGTAGGATAATGGAAAGTTTTCTGTGGAATACTAGCAAATTTTCTTCATTCCTTTAGAAAAGAAAGTTGAATTTATTTGGATTCTTAATTCTTCATTGTACTTGCAACTTTATATTTATGCAAGATTTGTTATACTAGCAGGTCTGAGATAAGAAATTAATTTTTGTGCTTAATGCTGCCTAATACTGTTCATTACCTACCTGATATTTAGGGCTATACTTCTCAAACTTTAATGTAACTACAGATAACCTTCAGGGGATCTTAGTAAATGCAAATGTTCTGTTAATAGGTCTGAGGAAGGGCCTGAAACCTCATTTCTACCAGGTCTCTAGCTGATGCCCATTTTGCTCATCCCAGGACCACTCTGAGTAATAAGACTGAAGGGCATGATTTTTGTAATGCTGTGGACCAACTTTTCAGTACAGCCTGCCACTGAATTTAAAAACCCCTTCAATTTATGGATGAGAAGCAGTGATGGCTGGCCTGTACTTTTGGGTGCTTTCTTTCTCTACTGCCATGTTACAGCAGTTGGAGGTGGAGTAAGAGAAACACAATCAAGAGGGATGGCCTGATAGATGGTTGTGAGAGCACTGTTTAAATCCCTTCTCTGCCTACTGCCACAAGGAGAAAGGAAGCTAATGGAAATCATATATTTCAGAGTCACTAGTCTGAGAACAATTTTCCAGTTAAAGACACTGTTGATTATCTCCTTTCCAGTAGAGAAGCCCATTGTCTTAAGGAACAAAGTGTTAAATAGCTTATAAAGTCAGTCAGACAAGATAAGCCAGTGTTTTAGTAACCTCCTAAATTTGTTCAGAGATGTAGAATCACAATCATAGACCAAAATGCATGCTAATAATACCATTTTGATAACTTGAAAATCTGTACTCAAAGATACTACTTAAGTACAATTGCACATTTTTTGTTTTCTAAAAGTTGTATGTCTTTTTGTATGTATGTACGTATGTATGTATGTTTATTTATGTATATGTCCATTTAAAAATAGCCTGCCAACATTTTTATTTGTTGGCTCCCCTAGAAAAAAACAAATGTTGTTTATGGGTGGCCTGGATGATTTTAAACCCTTTCTTTCTCTTCCAAGCAGTAGAAGTTTTATAGTAGCAAGTCTGAGTAGTTTCAAGATGTCTGCTGCTGTCACCTGCCTAAAAACTACAGATTGTGATGTTAGGGAAGTTAATAGAAATTTTAAAGTAGTGGGAAAATTTCCACTCAACTCTGATAACGGCATGCAGAGCATGAAAACTAAAACTACTTTACTTATTATATTTACTACTGTCATAAATAGTATCATAAATAGTGATTGAATTGTCCTTAGTTGTTAAGTCAGGGTCACAGAAAGGCTGGAATCCTTAGCTCTTATTTTGGAATAATGATTTTAAAGGGCTCTTTATGGATGTGACAAAGGAATGTAATTATTTGTAAGATATTTTCAAGGGTCGACTACACATCCCCAGCAAATTTTTTTAAGGAGAAATTGTGCTAAATACCTTTCATAACAAATAAGTGGTGTGTTTACCTAGATATCTGTTGTTAATGGAGATCTTTTCAATTATGCAGTATATTTTCTTAGTTTCTGTTATTAATCATGTTGTAAAAATATTTTTACTTGGCATGTTAAATAGCTTTGTTATTAAATTAATAACAATAATGTTGTAATATTGATGTATAATCCCACAGGTGTGAATGTAACAGATCATGATTTAACATTCAGAAGTTTAACAGAGACCCTTCAGAATAATGTCACTCCATATGTAGTTTCATTGCAAGCTAGAGATTGTCCAGGTAAAGTATAAATGCTTTCATAACCTTGATGAGATGTTACAAATCTATTCAGTCCTTTTTCTCTCTCTTTCTCTCTCTTTCAAGTTTTCCTTATCTCTTTTTATTTGTGGAAAGAGCATGGCACATTTTTGGCAGAGTGAAGTGTGATGCTTCCCAGAGTAATTTTCACTACTGCAGGATTCTGCCACTTTTTGCTTCCTTTATTCTGGCCTCACCCCTGCTATATCAGCTTCCCTGCCAATAATAGTCCAGGCATTTTAAGTTGGGAGGTTTAGGACAGGGAAGTGAGAATTGAGGGAGTTCTTATTTAGCCCAACAGAGAATAGAATGCATAGGCTCATATGTACAGCCTAATTATTTTATTGTCCCACTTTGAAAGGCCACCGTGGTAAAAATAGTCCATTATGAGAGCTTACCTTGGGTATCAGAAGCCATTAAATCATAAAAGATGTGGACACTAATAGAGTAAAATTAGATTTAGACTGATATAAGGGCTTCATGTGTTTATATTACTTTCTTGTTCATAAACTGATTGGAATTAAGTAAAAGCCCTTAGGACATTTTTTAAAATGACTTTAAGGAATATTTGTAATCAGTAAAATAACTTACCTAAGTAACACTTTTTGATCTTTTTAGGGGCTTTACAAACCTTTTGCTGTTTAATTTCAATATGTATTATTCCTAATAAAGTTAATAGTTTTCGTGTGATTACATTTGCTTAGGTAACACTTCTGTTATAGACCATAAACATAAACTTTGGCCTAGTTAGTCTGAATTAATGAAATTTAAATTTAAATATCAAGGAAAGGATACTAGTGAACATTATTCATTAATATGTTAAATGTTATGTTAGTTAATGTTAAGTATAGAAAAATACATTCTACCCAAATAATGTAATATACTGATCAAGAAGTTTCAGTTGTGTTAGATTTGTTTTAAGGGGAGATAAGCTTTCTTACCTATCATATTCTGTAGATGTGAAACATATTTTACAAAAACTGGTCTCACAGTTAATGGACGGCTGTATAGATGTTGAATCCAAAGAGGAGGAAAGTGTTCAGATCACCCAGAAAAACACACATTGTTCAATGGATTCTCTTTCCAGTTGGTATATGAATGTCACACAGGTAAATATGAACTGACAGTTTTCTCCCAGGAAATTGACATATGGTTGAAGAGACTTAGGATTGATTATATTAAGCATAGTACTGTTTTGTTCAATTAATAATAAGGATATGCTTATACAGCACTAGCTATTAATAGTAGCTACTTGTTTTTCCTAGGGCTACTAGAATTTTTTTTTTTAAGATTTTTATTGGGGAATTGGGGGAGGGGGAACAGACAAGTCGCTATCTTTTTGTTCTTCAGTCTAGTTGTGGAGAACCTTGCTTCACTGGCCCAAGTTGGCACCATTGTTGTACTCTTCCCGGGAGAGGCAGATCAGTCTCTGGCTTCAGGACGGCTGCTCACGGCGGCTGCTGGCCGCTGGCTACACATGGTAGCCCATGGCAACCCACTGCAGCAGGGGCTGCAGCCTAGCCATTGCCGGCGACCCAGGCAGCCCAGCTCCAGGTCGAGCTGTTGTTCAGCATCTTAGCTGTAGAGGGCAGTGTCACTGGCCCTCATATGTGGGATCCGAACCGGGGCCCTCTGGCGTCCCAAGCCAGCTCTTAACCAATGCGCCACTCGGCCGGCCCCTAGAATTTAACAAGTATTCTTTTATCAGTATGTAGCCCACTTCCTGTTAAATGTTTAGATTCTTGCAAGGTCATTCTGTTTGTGGGAGAATGTCATCTAGTGACAAAAACAGCATCTGGAATTGGTTTTGCTGCGGATTCTATCTCTGTGACAATGATGTATAATGTTAATATGTTATCTCTTTGGTTCCTCAGTATTTGCTTTTGTACAGTAGAACCAGGCTGCCAGTACCCATTTTCACCTTAGTCCAATTAGAAATATGTGTGTGTGTGTGTGTAATCACACACACACACACACACACACACACACACATATTTCTATATAGTAATTCTATTTAGAATATTTGGGGAACACTCTGTAAGTAAAGTATATTTAACAAACAGATAAATAAATGTAAGTTCCATTCTACCATGTTATATGTTAGTCTCTGGTGAAAATGAGTAACCTAGTGATTCAAAAAACCACAGCCTTAGTTTGTAATGCTGTATAGCCATATAGTATGGGAAAAAATACTTACTATGCTGACATTTTCTGATGAATATATTTACTGAAGTCATTATAAGTAAAGTTTCATTTTGCTTTATATAGGTATTAAACTGGGTTTAATGCTTACTATAATATCTTAATTTGATCCAGAATTTTAGATTTTGTAGATATCAAACACTACATGAAATTTTTGTCAGATATCTTTAAAATATTGGGGTTGGACCAGGTGATATTTAATATGCTTTTCAACTTGAAATTTATCAGCACAACAGCAATTAGTATTATCCATTATGCTTTTTAATTAAAAATACTAGTCTCAACTTAAAGCAAAGCAAAATATGACATTCTGCTAACGGAAAAATCAGTCTTATAGAGACTGTTCTCTTCTCCTCATGCTTTCCCTGTCATTGTCTCAGTAGCAGAAAATGTAAATATTTAATTTGAGTTATAGATTTTACTGAACCTTTTTCTTCTTGGTTATTATTCCCATGTCAGACACAGAAAGATTTCTGCTAATAACTGTTAGAAAGAGTTCCTATTTATTATGTGGGAGAAAGGAATGAAATAATGTTACTTTGAAATGTAAAGGGAGATGTATCTATTCGTGACATTATGGCCTTGTTTGGGTGGTAAGGCTTACTTTACTCCTTTTTTCCACCATGGCTTAAAAGAAGACAGACCCAAAAATGCCAGGGAAAAAGAGGACTTCTAACCAACGGCATTCTCCTCCTGTTGTGCTTATCTTAAAGGATATGGAAAGCTTCACCACAAAAGTCCTCCAAGACTTCATAACTATCAGCAGGTAGATGGTATATCACCTGGCTTTTGTGCAAAATTCTTTTTATTAAGAAAACATACAATGTGTAACTTAAAAAACAACCTTTTTCAGAGAAAATGAATAGCAATTTAATTTCATTTTAATACTATCTGGATGGAAACCAAGATGATATCAAATTTCTTATAATTGAACACTCAGAGACCTCCTATCAGATTTTCATTTGCTTTTTGAACAAAGAATGAGAATCAAAAGACAAAAGTTAGTCCATTTTTATTTAGTGTGGTAAGGCAATTTAAAATGTAGTGTCTCTCACCAAGGTTGTCTGTCTCGTTATTGACCTTTAAATGGATAAACTCCTACAAATTGAGATATTTTTGTCAGCTCTTATTTTCTGATACTTATCCACCCTTAGAAGTCCTGAGTTACGTATAGCTCTACAGAGCAAGAGTGTTTTGTGAATAACATTATCTTATATAATATTTTTAGTGAGAATCTACTTCCATGATCTCATTGTATCTTCAAGGCAATTCTGTGAGACTCAGAATTGAAGTAACTTAACACCCACCATTTTAAAATCCAGTGATATGCATTTCCCATGGTACATTTTTTAAGATACAATTTATTTTGGTTTTCTTTGTATGTTACCTTGCTTAATAGTTATGGCTATCTTCGCCTTAAAGCTATATTGTGTAATAATTTACTAATACACTTATTTTTATAATGCCTTTTTCCCCTCATTGAAATTAAGTTTTCTATCCTAAGACTTTTCTTAATGCTAACACTGCACTGCTTAACATGCTGGGAAAATGCGCAGTACAGGATAGTGATAGAAAAACTGTACTTTTTTGGAGATCAGACTTGTAACTACTTTTACCATCAAAATTAAGGAAGAACTTAAAACAGTGACAGAGTCTAGGCACTTTACTCCTACAAAGGTAAAACTGCATATAGCTAGAATACTGAAAAGCAATAGCTAAGAGGAGGTAGCAAGCAAAAGCATCAGCCATAGTGCAGGACTTTGACCTGCTGTAGCTGTCAGAGTACTGTTTTCCATTTGTGTTCCTACTGTTAATGCTAAGAATCAATTATATCCGATAAGTTTGAGTTAAGAATGCAAGGAAACGATGTAACATTTTTTAATGTCTGTTACAACTGTCTTGTGTTGTAAGAAAAGTTTTCTAATTCTATTATGGCTAGATGACAGAATGTCTGTTCCAAATGTCCATACATAGCATAAATTACCTTCAAAATCAGTGAACTTAATGTCACTAAACTCTTAAAGCATTGGCTGGATATCTGTGAGGAAGACTGTAGGTAGGACTCATACTTTGAGTGAGAGGTTAAATTGAATGGTATCTAATAACTCTTCTAATGCTTGAGGCTGTATAACCTTACAGGGAGGCAGTTGATCTCCCTGGACCTCCTCTATTAATTAGAAGAACCATTAATAGATTGATTTCAGAGCTAGAATATCTGGGAAATCACTATTTCTATGACACTTTAACAGAGCAAAGTGAATGACCTAGAAAATTTTGGTATTTAGAAAATACTTCTTAGCAGTATCTAATAAAGTAGGCATTAAAATAAAGGTTGTCTTATTTTGAAATATGTATTGAAATATATTTGCTAAAGAAATCCCACTTTTGTATTTTCCTTTGAAAACTAGTCAACATCTACATGAATTTCCACTAATACTTATTTTTGGAATTGCCACATCTCCTATTGTCATCCATCGGTTGCTTCCTCATGCAGTATCATCTCTGTTATGTATAGAACTATTCCAATCTTTGTCTTGCAAGGAGCACCTGACTACGGTACTTGATAAGGTAAAAGAAAAAAATTTACCAGTAATAATAAGATGAAAAAAGAAAACTAAGATAGATTATGAATATAAGTGTTAGTGATAAATTTCTGCATCTCAGAGTATGATATTGAACATATTCTTTCACATATTTTAATATTTTCATAGTATAGTATTGCCTCTGCAGATAAAATGTAAGATTTATGAAAAGAATGTCATCTATCAATCTGTATCTATCAGTTAAGTCAATCAGTTATTACTCAATGGAAAATTGTAGGTTTTTAAAATAAATTTTTTTAGAATTTAATGACTTCCTGGTAACAGTAATAGTGTTTTGACTCTTACATTTTATATTAAATGATTAGAAATTTTTAGTGGACTCTTTCCTGTCATGCTGCTCTTGATTGAAAATAAATACTGTACTAACATTTTCCCAGACCTTAGCTCTATGTTTCTACCAATATAGAAATACCGTTCTTGAGTATTGACCTTCCACAAATTGTTGCTAGATTCAGCTCCTTTAAGGTGTGCTTTATGTTGCTTGTGTAAGGTAAATTAATAACAGCCTTTCATTTATTTACTAACCATTTCTATAGTTTTTCCCATGAAGGTTATATCCATTGGTTTACTGACACTTTCAAGAAAAATTTTCCAGCTATATTATTAAACATTGCTTGGTTGTGGCCAAATTCAGGTGGCCTTCTATAACAATGCTTCTGTTTAAAGAGCCTAGTATGACTTCATTTTCAGATGAACAGTCTTTACTATAGGCCATTGAAAATTAGCTGAGTAATACAGATTCAGCTATTTTGTGTTTTTAAAATAGACATCAGTTAATTTTGGGTTTCTCATTTAACAATGCATAATGTGTTCCTCTTCATTAATGTGCATCAGTAAGGATGAAAAAGAAACCTTATCAGATAACAAGAATTGCCAAAGCCTTCAGCTTCTTTAGTGGCTTCTGATGGGAGAAAAGGAATTATATATTTGATAGGCAGTGTTGTTTTAAATTAGGAATTGAATGGAGGATGATGGATGACTTTGATTCTGAAGATATAGTATGAATTCCTTCTTTTTGTTATTGTTATATCATTTAATTTAAAATTTTGGTTGATATTTGACCTAAAAATCCTAGCTACTGTTAGAGCTTTCATAGTTACTGTGTCATACTGTTATTCTTTGCTTCATTATTAATACTTGATATTTGTGAATAGTAAAGACTAACAAGGAGTGTGTCCTGCCCCCCATTTTTCTTTTTCAGCTACTTTTTACAGCTCAGTTTCCCTTTAAACTAAGTGAAAAAGTATTACAGATTCTGACCAACATCTTTTTGTATCATGATTTCTCAATTCAGAACTTTATAAAAGGACTTCAGGTAAGAAAACACTAATGCATTTCAAAATTCACAAGCTGATTCTAAATAATTTGCATGCTATTTCAAACTGACTAGTGTGATACTTAAGGCATTTCAAATGGCAAAATCTAGAATAAGGAAATTCAAGCTATATTATTCTAGGTTCTACTATTGCTTTGTTACCTTGCAGCAAGAATGTAGAGAATATATTAATCAGATATCAAAATGAAAAAAGACCTCCCTCCATTCCAGTGCTTCTTAACCATTTTGTGGAGGTGGGGGAATAAGGGACCTTTTTTGAAGAGCCTGATGAAATCTTATGGACTGGCTGCCTGTCTAGGAAATGTTATATATGAGGAGTCACCAAAGTTTTTCTGTAAAGGAGCAGATATTAAATATTTTTGGCTTTGCATGCTGTGTATGGTCTCTGTTGCATATTCTTCTTTTTCTTATTTTTACAAAATAACCCTTTAAAGATGTAAAAAAAAATTTCTGTGCCATACAAAAATAGGCTGAGGGCCATAGTTTGCTATTCCCTGCACATCTATGTGTGTGTTCATTCATATTTATTCTCATATAAATGCATCAGGATTGCATTTTCCACTAAGGTTTCTTGAATTACCAGAAAAAAATTCATGAACTTAGTTTCATAACATGCTCTAAACTAAAAAAGGACCCCATTCTTCAGTTGTTTAAAACTTCATATTATTTCCTCCTTTTGGCAACTACCTAAAACATCTTAGCAAAGTGTAGTCATTGTGAGCACATGTCAATTATCAAGTTGATTAAAACCTATATATTAGTAACCTTCAGTACGGAAATGCAGTATGATAATACCTCATATATATGCAGTTCCTGGACGATTATAAATTACTTCTTACATGTTCTGATTCCACGTAAAACACTGTAGTGGTCTGTTATGGCTAACAAGTGTTTTTTTGTTGTTTTTAATTTAGATGTTTAAATATATTTTAAAGCAAGAAAATATTATTTACCTTAGTAATATGTGAAATTCAAAGATATTAAGATATAACAATTTCTAATTTACTTCTCATTCATTCATTTTATTAATTTATTTACTCATAAGTATTTATCAAGAGCCTGCTGTAAGCCAAGCATTGTGCTGAGCCCTGCAGATACAGAGCACAAAGAAATCTCTGCCTTCAAATTGCTCACTGTTTAATGAAGGAAGCAGAAGAGTAAACCTGCATTTACCGTTCTGAGTAGTCAGTAATATGATAGAAACATCTCTGGAGATTCTATAGAACAGAAGTGTATCCTAAGGAAGAAGAGCTAGCCAGGTCAGAATTGGAAGAGCATTCCAGGCAAAGGCAACAATAGAGGGAGAGAGCTCTGACAGAAGGATATTGCAGTAGTCTAGAGAAGACATGACAAGGGCTAAACTAAGGTGATGATAGTGGGACTAGAGAGGAGGAAACAAATTTGAGGATGAGATAGAATCAACAGAACCTAGTGACTAAGTAGACAATAGGCTGTGTAAGAGAGGAGCATAAGCAACAGACACACAGGTTTTAGCTTAGCACATGTATTGGAAATTGGTATCACTTATTAAGTGTACATGTTAATATAAATAAAAGAGTCAGTTTGTTAGAAAAGTTTATTTTGAATATGGTTAATTTAGGGTATGTTGGACATAAAGATTTGGCACTCGGGAGAAAGATCCGACTAGAAATAAGATTTATCATTAAAAGGTGGTGGTTGAAGTAATGTAATGAGGATGAGGCATAAAGCAGAGGAGTGAGGAAAGGACTAAGGGCAGAACCCTAAGACAAACTGACATAAGAGTGAGCAATGGAAAAGGAGACTAAAAACAGAAAGGAAAGCCAATAGAAAGCAGAGTATCAATGAAGTCAAGAGAAGAAAGAGTTGTAGGAAATGTAGACTAGTCTCAAATACCGTTGAAAAAGTGAGCGAAGAAAAGGACATTAACCAAGTTATTTAATCTCTCTGGGTCTCAGTTTTCTCATCTGTAAAATAAGGGAAATCAGATTAGATGATTTTATAGGTTCCTGAAAATTTACTAAGCACCTCCTTTGTGCTAGGAACTTCACTAGGTAATTTAGTTTGTTTCATTAATATGTATTATCCTCAGTTTTGCACATGAAAAAACACATTTAGGTTAAGTAGGTTGGCCACGGTCACATAGCTAATAAGGGGCAGAATCTTTATTTATTTATTTATTTATTTTTAAGATTTTATTGGGGCATTGGGGGAGGGGAACAGACAAGTTGCTGTTGTTTTGTTCTTCAGTCTAGTTGTGGAGGANTTGCTTCACTGGCCCAAGTTGGCACCATCATTGCGCTCTTTCCGGGTGAGGCAGATCAGTCACCGGCTTCTGGACAACCGCTCACAGCGGCTGCTGGCCGCTCACGCTGGCTGCTGGCTACATACGGTAGCCCATGGTAACCCACTGCAGCAGGGGATGCAGCCTAGCCGTTGCCGGCAACCCACAGCAGCCCAGCTCCAGGTCGAGCTGCCGTTCACCATCTTAGCTGTAGAGGGCAGTGTCAGTGGCTCTCATATGTCGGATCCGAACCGGGGCCCTCTGGCGTCGCAAGCCAGTTCTTAACCAATGTGCCACTCGGCCAGCCCAGGGCAGAATCTTTAGACCCCATTTGGCCAGTTTTCCTAAGTATAAATGGGAAATTGGTGTAAGTGCTGATTTCTTCAGAAGGTATGTTTTTTTTTCTTATATTTCTTGAGGGCATATAATCATTCTGCATATGTTGAAGTCCTTCCCTTATTAGGTAGATCTGTTAACCAACTTGTTAATTGACCCAGATATTGAGAATAAGTTGGACAAAAAAGTTAAGTGATACTGGGTTCTTACCCCATCTATTATTCTGCTATAATTCATGTGACTTGTTCCCATTCCTCGCCTCCAGCAAGTCCCTTATCATGTTTGATTTTTACTTTTCTTATGTTTAAAAAGTACATTAACATTGGAGTATGTATTATCACATTAATGTAATTGGAAAATATAGGAAAGAAACAAGATTATGTTAATATGTGCAAAAATAATTTAGCACTTGGCATGAGCAGTTCGTTTCTATTTTCTACTTGCTTTTAAGTTAGGGTGGTGCTTTGCCTTACAGCCCTATACTCCCTCCAGAATGGACTATTTTGGACTTCAGCCTAGGTATCTGGTTTTTAGCTCTATAGGCTGAGAAATTCATTATCAGTTTACCCAGGAAGGATCAGGCTCAAATATCTTAAGAGTGATATATAAACTAGCATGTAAATTTATTAATTTGTGATGGGGATTGCTATTTTCCAGTGATGGGAATGTGTTTTGTCTACTATCTAGGGAACTGTCTCTCCAGTATGAAGGTATCTAGAAAAACCAAACTGGTCACGAGAAGGTTGCTTAAAGCAGAGTTTTTAACATTTGGAGAGTCTTACGAGATATCTTATCAGTTATGGCAGAATCTGGAAAATCATTCTCCCTTGTACTGTGGAGACCACAGCATTCTAGTTACTAGAATACTTATTCTGTCAGATACTGTACCATGTTTTCCTCTGGGAAATAAAACTGCACTTAAAAAAATCATCTTCTTTAGCCATTCGTCATTTTTCATCATTCTTTTTTTTATCAGTAGGCAAAGCTTCTACCATTGTAGTGTTTTATTTAGCAGACCATTTTTTACACTGACTCTTATGAGTTTTTGGCCATCAATTAGACCTTTAGGTCATACCCCAGTCCTTTCCCCACCACATTGACTGTTATTGTGATAGCCAATCTATTTATTTATATTAGTTTCTTTTAGCTTATATACTTCAGAGATTATAATTTTCTGACCTTGTCCACAAAATGGGAGCCCTAAAGCATTAAATGTATATAGTATTTATGCATTGTTTGTAGTGTTATTGCAACATTACCAAATGTATTGGTGCCTTAAATACTTTTGCTATTAAAAAAAAAACTTAAAATTGAGCAGACATACAGCAGAAGATTTACTGCCAAAATATAAGAAATATATTTGATCTTCACATTTCTTTCAGCTTTCTCTGTTAGAGCATTTCTATTCCCAGCCCCTCAGTGTCCTGTGCTGTAATCTCCCAGAAGCCAAGAGAAGAATAAATTTTTTATCAGATAATCAATGTGAAAACATCCGACGTCTTCCATCATTCAGGAGGTAAAAAAAAGAAGTACATATTTAACATATCTTATAATAGAGGTTGGGGCAAAATAAGGGACCTCATATCCAGTTATTTTTGAAGTAGGAAAAGGAAAAATAACCTTTTCATTTTTTTTTTGAGCAAATTAAAACCCTTCTGTTTTTAATTGTGAGATTTCTTTGTTGAATTTGAAAATTTGGCATAAAGAAAAATATTTTTTACAAGGGGACATAATTTGCAGATTCTCCAGAGTTACTTTTTATAAACAGAATTTTGTGTTTCTGGAGTTTCTGGCCTTTGTTGATGATTAGACACCTACACTATGAAGTGCAGCAGATTTAAGGAGTTAAAAATTACCATTAAACCGTGACTGTCATCTTGAATTTATTTTTCAGAAGAAATGAAAGAATGTGCCCACCAATCGAGGTAGTTTTTTTCCCCCATATGCTATTCAAATACTTAGAATGCTTAATTTTCTCTTTTTGTGTATGGGATGGTAAACATTTTAGGTACGTGGAAAAGCAAGCTGCAGAAAAGCAAGTTGCTCTATTGACCAATGAGAAATTTTTGAAGGTAGGAATGTGGATGTGTTTATTTCAGTTTTATTCTGTTTTTTCTTCATGAAAAATATGCATATAACATTTATTGAGTTAATTTTATAGAACATATCTGTACATCCTAAAATGCTTTGCAGAACAAAGTAGTAGGTCTTGATAATCATATAGGAATGTTACTATTAAGGATGGCACAAAACCTCATCTAAGAGAGAAGATTTTTTTTTTTATTGAGAAAAAATATTAACTAGAACACTAAGTTTCTTCTGTCATCTATTTTGAAAACACTTTTTAGATCTCAACTTTCTTTCCACATAGCAGTTTTGGAATCTGCAGGCAATCTCATTTTAATGATCTTTTAAAGACTGTCATAAATAAAAGCACATAGAAGCTATGCAACTTAGAGACCCACTGCTAAGTGCGTATTGATTTGATTTGAAAAAATGTCATTATATAATGGTAATATAATGCCAGGAAAGAAGTAATGAACTTAGAATATATACACTGTTCTGTTACCTAGTTTTGTTTTGCACTTAATCATGGAAATCATACTAGTACTACAGAGTGGCACAGTATTTTATTGAATGAATGTACCTTCATTTTATTTAACAAGTCCTTTACTGATGGACAATTAGAAACGCATACTGTCACACTTATTTTCATACTCTTCATGCCTTTTTTAGGAAAAAGTTGTTAGAAAGTTGTAATAAAATTAAGGTGACATTGAAGTTAAGCCCTGGTTATATGTGTGAGTTTTGCTGATACACACTATTTTTAAATTTTGAATAAATGAGTGTTAGTTTATAGAGGGCATGAATTCTGTATAGTTCTAAATACTAATTTACTTCCTTGTTGTAAATTCTCAAAAAAGATTAAGAATGGTTCTGTTTTAATTGAGGTATAATTGACATACAGCATTACAGTGGAGAATGGCTTTTATTCGACATTATTTGTAATGCAGAATCCACACTGGGCTATAATATAAAATCACTTCTAGATTGGGTTTAATAATCATTGTAATAATCTCTATAACCTTTTCAGAGCAGTATAGAAAGTCTTGAAACCCTAATGGAGGTTATTTTGATAGAAAGGAAATTTAAGAACCACTAGAAAATGGATGCGTGCGTGTTTACTGAGCCTTTTAAGATTAGATAGATTAGCTGTCTGCTGAGTGAGCTAGTTGCCAAGTGCATTTCCTGCTAGAACTTTCTGTCAAGGTTGTGTTTTCACACGCCAGGAATAGATTTTTTTAAAGAGTACCTTTAACCATTGAGGTGACAAAGGGAAAGACTGTCTAGGCTGGTCTGTTATAGATATAGCCTGACATTTATCTTTGCTTTTCGGTAACTTTTTGCGTATTTTCTATGCATTTATTTATACTGTACTTGTTTTTGTTGCACTTATCAGCCCTGTTTCTTATTATCTGTGCCATATTCATTTTAGGATTGCATGTTTTGTCATTTAGAGGCATATTTTCTTGAGACTTACATAGAGAGAAATATGATGGAGCAGAAAGATTTGTACCCTTACCCTGAAAAAGTTATCTGCAGGTTACCTGCTGAATTCAAAGAACAGAAGATGTCTATGAAAAAAGTTAATCAGTGTCTGTTGACTTTTCTAGTTTAGAGTAGAGTGTCTTTGGTCGTTTTATTATAGTGCTGTGATTGGAGACAGCTGAATTTGAAGGCTGTATTACACGTTGACTGGCAACGCACAGCCTAATAAAAATGTGGGGGTTTTTTTAGGTCCATAGTGTTTTTATAAAAATCTGAGTCAACATTTACAAATTGAGAAAATTTACATTACAAATTGAAACTTTTTTCTTCTTTTCAAAAATTAGTAAACTTGGCCCACATTCAGCAAGACAAGCAGTTGCTCTTATTTAAAGGAGTGACCGAGTGTTGGCCTTCATTCTTAATGCACTTCTTCCTTCAACAAATATTCTCTGAGTGCCTACTTTGTGTGCGGTATTAAACTAGGTGCTGAGAATACAAGAGTGAACAAAGACAAAACCCCTGCCTTCATGGAGCTTACATGCTATCAAGTTAAATAGGTAAAATATATGTTAATGATAACTGCTAAGGAGAAAACAATGAAGGAGAAAAAGGGAATATGAAGTAGGTTGTGCATGCAGAGTGGGATTGAAAATTTAAATAAGGGCCCCATGAGAAGGTGAATTTTGAGTAACGACCTAAAGGAAGTTATAGAGCTTGCCATGCAGGAATCTGGAGGAAAAAAATGCCAAGCAGAGAAACAGCAAGTGGAAAGGAGCTGAGGTTGGAGCATGTCTGGCATGTTTGAAGAGGAGTGGGGAGGCTGTTATGTATTTGTTCTGTTTTTCTTCTAGCAGAGAAATATTTCCGTTCCTTCTTCTGTATCAAAGATCAGTAAAGACCATGAGGTCGTCATGTTTTAAAAACAGAAGAAAGTGTACCTGTTTGGGACATCATGTTTTAAAAACAGAAGAAAGTGTACCTGTTTGGGAAATAATGACTTCCTGGGCAAAGTGTATTTCTGTTGAAAAGAATCACTTTTATCACAATTATGAAATAAAACAGTGGCAGCTATGACTAGTATATAGAAAAGATGCCGGACGAAATATTTAATGACCAGAAAACAGGATTACTGTTTCAACAGGCTTTGTTTTTGCATGTTTATTGTGTGATGCTGCTGTAATATGTTAAGTGGGAAATTTTCTCATACATCAAAACCTTTTGCAAGTTTGAGTTTATAAAAAAAGTGTTCATAAAGTGCATTAGGAATTTTTGGCCTGAATAGGTAAAGGCATTTGCAGATATGTATCTCAGTAAGACAAAGAACTTAGAGAACAGATTACATGGAAAAAACTGAAGTTAATCATTTGTGATATTTTCTGCTGCAGCTGATAACAGATATAACAGTGGAATCTTTCTTATGTGGAGATGAGGTTCTAAAGTCAGCACATGAGACGAAGATCTGGGGTGGTCAGAATTACTCTTGAAAATCCCTTTGAAAGGTGATAGATCTTCTCTCATTAAATTCAACAAAGCCAGTTTTATTTGCAGCGTTGGAATCAAAACTCCATTTCAATTGAGCATCAGATGAAATAGTCTGCCATTATATGAACAAAGCAGAACATTTTTTAAATGCTAGAATTCCACTCAGCCCAGAGATGTAGTCACATAGTATGAAGTATAAGGGACCAAGACCATCTGGGAGAAGAGAGTGTTCACCTCTCTCATCTCATACTCCAGGGAAGGGTTCCTTGAATGTGCGGCATGCTCATACTGTGTAAGTGTTGATTTTCTCTCTTCATCCAAGTAAATTGAACATGTCATTCAATTCTGTGTCACTCAGTTGTTTGCACATATAGTTACTTCACAGAGCAAAAGTAATATTACAGTTAGTATGAAGTGTGATTATTATTCAGTAATAGATTCCTTTTTCTTCAGAATAGCCCCCCATTTAAAAGCTATTTAAGCTCACATCAAGGCAAACAATTACTGGCTGTTTTCAATCTCTGTTAGAGTTTACAATAAACATAGAATTAAAGTGTGCACTTTCAGTGGTGGTTGAAGTACCCTTTGTACTGATATACTGGTGTACTAGTGATAGGAGATCTAGATTTTTGAAATTACCGCTAAACTCAAATACTGGGAGGAAAAACATATTGATATTAAAAGCTTTTGTTTCATTTGCCCTAGGCTTTCAGATAATGACCTATAGATTGCTGACCAAGGAGCTGATTTCTAAGTGAGTTAGAGTTTAGGAAAATATATCAGATTTCTTGCTTTACATAGGTTAGATGTACTTGAATTTATTGATACATGAGGTATTATTTTCTGCATGGTTGACTGCTAAAAACAATGGATATCTGCAAAATATTACTGAAAAAAAAAAAGCAGCCCAGTAGTTCAAGTCCTTTATTGGACTTCTTAGAGGGGAAAAAAATTTGCACTGTTCAGACTGAGTCTGAGTTGTTCCAAGATTTGTGCCTCAGACACCACAAGCACAAAGAACACATCAGGTGGCTGAGTCGAGACATAGGTTTATTGAGCCTTACAGACCAGGGAGAGTCCCCGGTGTCGGTGGCTAGAGGGGTAGTGACCCGTCTGCAGGCAGACAAGAAGCAAGGTTATGTAGGTACAGCAAAAGGAAGAGCATTTCGTGGGAGAAATCACCTGGCAGGCTGTCATGTACACAGCGTCTCAAGAAGCCAGGAGATCTTGACCGCTGCCAGCTTATCTGCGTGTGGGCCAGGTCCCTACACCATACCACAGATCATAATCCTCTTAAGAAAACATTATGGAAGTAAGCAGTTATGAAAGCATTTGAGGCCTGAAAAATATTTGCTAGAATGCAGTGTTTCAAAATGACTCCTAAACTATTTCAGAAAGCTCTGGAAAACAATGTTCCTTCCCCACAAACCCCCACCGTCCCCCAAAAACCTTTTGAGATGAATTTGTAGGAGTAGTCATCCCATAGGTTTCTTAAAGACACTATCTCCCATATCATACTTAGGATTATATTTCTAAATTATAGATCTTGGCTTCAGATTTCTCTTTTTCACTATTTTTTTCTTAATTGATAAAATAAATAAAACCAGTACATATTGGAGATTCTCAACAAAAGGCAGAATCACCTGTCGTGTTTCTTCTACAGTGTTTCTTCCCTTTCAAGCACAACTCTAGCAGTACTTTTTAAAAAACATACATCGTAAGTGGAACCCCAGCAACTGTTAATTACATTGGTCCTGGGCTCTCTGGTTATCTCCTCACTCTCCTGATGCCAGTGAGGTAGAGGTAATAGGCTTACTTCACTGTGGCACCAGGGACTGGCACAGGTAGGCATCCAACAAGGTGCTGTTTTGCACACTTGTATTTTGGGGGGCCAAGTTATTGTAGCAGTGCTGTAGATAGGAGGAAATTACTTACAGTATTAATTTTGGTATGTGTAAAATACCACCAGATTTGATACTAAATCGGAAATACCTAGCCTTTATCCTGGTTTTTGTGTGAATTATAAATTCTCAGAATTAAGGAGGTTAATTTCTAATTTTGAATCTTCTCATCATTTTCCAGAAATTATATTTCATATCTATGAAATAGATTTTATTTTTAAAATTACCGACTTACATATGTATTCTGTGATTTTTAGGAGGAAACACAGTTATTACTAGAAAATCTGCATGTTTACCATATAAATTACTTCCTGGTTTTGAGATGTCTTCATCAGTTCACCTCTTCTCTTCCCAAGTACCCATTGGGTCGACAGGTAACTAAAACTTCTTTATTTAGAATCTATGAAGTCAGAATATTGGTAGTTTCTTGGTTTGACTTCAGTAGCATTCAGGCATCAGAATTTGAAATGGATCCAAATCTTGCAGTGAGTGCACAACCTAAGTCCATCCCATCTGTACTGGTAATTTTTTTGTTCTATGGCCACAACTAGAAACAACCACATGAATCCAGTGGTGTTCCTTCCCCTACAATATATTGTGCTAAAGCATTTTAACTTTATTTAATACCTTTCCATCACTTAAACAGAGAGCTAATTCTCCACCATAGTGAAACAGAAAAAATCTGTTTGAGAATGCTTAATGGTTAACTTTGCATTGCACCAGGAACTAAAAGGGAAACTTACTTCTGCTTCTTGGAAATAATGCTCTGCTGGCCTTTGTGTCATACCATAAACCTACGAGCCATCTGTAGACTGGATGTTAATGAAGAATTCTGTATCCCTAAATCTTTGCATCCTTTACTCAAAGGTTTAGAGAATTAATATGTAAATGACTTGTTTATAAGATAATTTCTGACATTAAACCTTCTTTTTAATAATCATATTATCATTTCTATCATTTTTTTATTGAAAGTGACCAGTGATAACAGCCAGTCCCAATATAGTCTCATTTTGCCTTTACAATACATAAATGGTGTTCTCATAAAGCCCGATCCATGTGATATATGCCACGTCTGTTACCATCTAAAGAAAATGGTTGTTTTTAATAACATTAATTTTATGTCTTGAACATTTATAATTTCGTCACACTAGTAGTGTGCAAACTTAGTCCTTTGCTTTTGGCTCCTTAAAAGTGTGCTGCTTACTTACAGATCAGAGAGCTGTACTGCACGTGTTTAGAAAACAACATATGGGAATCAGAGGAGTATGCATCGGCCTTGCAGCTGCTGAGGTAGTTTGTTTTTTTTCTTCTTAGTCTTCTCTAAGCCTGCCAGTAAGTAACACCTTCCTCCAGACCTCTGCCTACCAAGGAATTTCATAACTAGCCTGTTCTGTCTAATATTTGTATCTATCTTGAATTTGTGATCGTAGCTTATGGTGTTTTTAATGTAGCAACCATCCATTTGTTTTCTGCTTTTACCTTGATTTTGAACTTGTGATTTTTAAAGTAAAACAAATGTTTGTTTAGTGAAATACTAACACTACACGAGGAGAACTTAGGTATGGATAATTTTAATCTAGCCAGCTTGATGTCATGACAAGGAAAGTGCTCATGGAAAGCAACCTCACCATGGCCCTGACCTAGCTGGGTGCAGTAGCAACATCAGTAGGTGAAATACATCCTGTGAAGGAGGCCACTGCTGACCTTGAGTAGTAACCTCCAGTAGGCAGTGGCCTTGATGCCTTCTCCCACCTGAGCTGGCTCTGACCACGGTAACATTGGATCTTTTGTAAATTATTTATCTAATATTATATGAATATATAAGATACCTTAGAGTTATTATCAGACATTAAAGATCAGTTATCCCTGAAAAATGTACCTTTTAAAGTTATAATCATTTGTTTCCCTTGGCTTTACTTCTTATATGTGTGGAGACTTTCTAGTTTTCCATAAAAATAACTACCACTTGGACTGTAAGAAAAGGAAAATCAAATGTGAGTTAAGTTTCTGCACATAGTCTTATAATTTTCCTCAGTGGACATAAATGCTTATATGCAAATATAAAGAAATCTGGGAACTGAATATTTATTAAGTCTTGTCTTCCTCTGGACTCACAAGAAAAGAACAGATGGGCATAGTAGGAGGAAAAGTCACTTTGAAAGCACTTTAAGTCCAGAGACTTAATAATACAAATGTTAGTGATCTAGCAGGTGCAACTTAAGATAGGACACTAATTTTATGCTATCTGGAAAAATAACTCCCCATGGAAACTAGATTGCCACTGAAAAGCTATGTTTTAATTAATTTTATTAAGTGCTAATGAAAGATTTCTGTGTATTTATATACTTCAACTGGAATATTTCTGAAACTTCTTTTGCTTTTTGTTCAAGTTAACGTACCTATCTTGATTCTTCTTGCTGGGTCTCCTCTTTAACCTTCATGGTCAGTGATTATCTTCCTTCTCCTATTGGGTACGCCCAAATTCACAGATTCCTTTGTCAGGGAGGGACTTGTTCTTTTCCTTCTGCATCTCCCTGGCACTATAATCTTGGGGTACAAGTCAAAGATGAAGGATGCCAATTCCACACTAGGGTAAGAAAACATGAGCAATGATAATAATGGTGATAGTAGTAACCACCATATATGAAGGCTTACATTGTGCTGGGCACTGCCTTAGGCACTTTCAGTACATTTTCTAGTCTAATACTCAAATACATCTTTGGGCAGATACCATTAACCGCACTTTACAGTTGAGGAAACCGAAGCACAGATAGTGTTTAAGTGATTTGCCTGAGAGCTGTTAGCTGTTGATGGAACTAGGATTCTAATCCAGGCCTGACTTCAAAGCTGTTGTACCTTCCACTATTCTTTGCTAAGATCTAAAATGTGGATTTAGGGATCTCAGTAAAGTGGAAGCAATAAATAAAAGCAAAGTTTCAGTCATTTTGCTAAGCTGAGGTCAGAAACATAGGAATATAAAAACCACTAAGGATCAGATATAGCAGCTACAGCAAGGACAGGCAACAGTCGGCTACAAGAGAAGGAATCTGGGAACCTTTAGACTGGATTTCTTTTCCCCTTTGTACAGATTAGAGGTAGACGAAAAGTCAGGGACACTTGTCAGCTTAGACATTCTAAGAATCACCTGAATTTAGGAATCCAGACGTTCCCATCACCTGTCTGCCAACAATTCAAGTTATGAGAGAAAATAATAAAATGATCACTGAATGTTATTTAGAAAGAAAAACTAAGGTACTGTTAGAAACATAGTCTAGTAACAGTTCCAATTTTAATTACTTTTCTTAAGTACCTCAAAGGCAATATTTCTCTTGAAAAATCCCTTTTATTATTTAAGTAACCATAGAACTACTTGGTGAAATATTTAAATAATTAAATTTTTTAAACAATTAAAAAGTACTTAATTCCTAATATTTGTATGGAATCACAAAAGACCCCGAATAGTCAAAACTATCTTGAGAGACAAGGTGGAAGCATTATGCTTCCTGATTTCACACTACGTTACAAAGCAATAGTAATTAAAACAGTATGGTATTGTGATAAAAACAGACACAGATGAACGGAACAGAGAGCCTAGAAATACACACACATATTTGGGCAATTACTTAATGACAAAAGAGCCAAGAATATACAGTGAAGAAACAAACAGCCTCTTCAATAAAGGTTGTTGGGAAAACTGGGCAGCTGCATGCAAAAGAATGAAACTGAACCACTATGTTACATCATACAAAAAATCAATTCAAAGTTGATTAAAGACTTGAACATAGACTTGAAACCATAAAACTTAAAGAAAACATAAGCAGTAATCTTGACGTTGGTCTGTGCAATGCCTTTGGCTTTGACACCAAAAGTAAAGGCAACAAAAGCAAAAATAAACAAGTGGCTTACATCAAACAAAAGCTTCTGCACAGAAAAGAAAACCATCAACAAAATAAAAGGGCAACTTACAGAATGGGAAAAAATATTTGTAAATCGTATGTTTGATAAGGGATTAATATCCAAAGTATATAAAGAATACATAAAACTCAATAGGAAAAAAACAGTCTGATGAAAAAGTGGGCAGAGCATCTGAATAGACATTTTTCCAAAGAAGACATACACATGGCCAACAGGTACATGAAAAGGTGCTCAACATCAGTCATCGTCAGGGAAATGCAAATCAAAAATACAATGAGATATCACTTCACATTTTCAGTGTGGCTATTATTAAAAAGGCAAAAATAACGTGTTGGTGAGGATGTGGAGAAAAGGGAACATTCATGCATTGTTGGTGGGAGTGTAAATTGGTGCAGCCACTATGGAAAACTGTGGAGGTTCCTCAAAAATTTAAAAATAGAACTACCATATAATCCAGCAATTCCACTTCTGGGTATTTATCTGAAGGAAATGAAAACACTAACTCAAAAAGATATCTGTACCCCCCATGTTCATTGCAGCATTATTTATAACAGTGAAGACATGGAAACAACCTAAATGTCCATCAGCAGATGAATGGATAAAGAAAGTGTGTGTGTGTGTGTGTGTGTGTGTGTGTGTGTGTGTGTCTGTCACACACTATATGTGTAATATATATATAATTATTATTGTTATTTAGCCATGAAAAGAAAATCCTGCCATAGCACCAAACTCCTAGATAGGATAGATTGGTGGTTGCCAGAGGCTAGGAGTTGGGGGTGGGGTGGTGGCCAAATGGGTGAATGTGGTCAAAAGATACAAACTTTTAGTTATAAAATAAAGAAGCCCTGGAATGTAATGTATAGCATGGTAACTATAGTTAATACTGTATATTTGAAAGTTGCTAAGAGAGTAGATCTTAAAAGTTCTCGTCACAAGAAAAAAAAATTGTAACATGTGTGGTGTCAGATATTAACTAGACTTAATGTGGTGATCATTTTGCAATACATACATATATCAAATTATTATGTTGTACACCTGAAACTAATATAATGTTATATGTCAGTTAAATAGTTTAAAAGTATTTATAAGGAATTTGTCATAATTTGCAAAAATGTTTGTTACGTATTCATGAGTGGAAAAGTCCTACAATATTTTATATCACAGTTATTTTAAATATGTATGCAGCAGATATTGATGTGTATGTGGGGAGCATGTTGGTATGCCTTTATAATATGTCATAATTTGAGTACACTGGTTCTGCGTGTGTTCTCTAACTTTTCCTCTGTGAGTCAGTCAGTTCTTAGAACCTGAAGACCACATCCCTATACAGAATATGAGTTGGTTAATTTTTCACTCAACCAAATATTATATTGTGTTGTTGGAAAAGTCATGATATATTTTGTCTATGTTATTCAAAGGTCATTTATTTATATAAAGAACAAAGATCAATCAATGATATATTGCCCATTTTGTTCGATAACCTTTTGCCATCTTTCAGTGAGCTTCATAATTCCTCATTCATAGAGGGCCTGTCTTTATTTGTGAAATACTGAACAAGGTGTTGACTCATAGCCTCATCTGAATTGAATGTTATTACCACGCAAGGAGTTTGAAGAGAGCAAAACAAGTGGAAGTCTGACGGTACAAGGTCAAGCGAGTATGGTGGGTGTGGCAACACATCCCATCCAAGCTCCAGTAATTTTTGACGGGTGATCAAACTTGTGTGTGATCTCGCGTTGTCGTGATGGAACACAACTCCTTTACAAATAGCAAGCTCTGGACGTTTCTGGATGATGGATTCGTTCAAACTCTCCAATTGCCGACACAGTACACATTCAAATTGATCGTTTAGTTAGTTCCTTGGTAGGAATGCGAAAAACACAACACCTTTAAAATCCCACCACACTGAGAGCATAACCTTCCTCTGATCAATGTCTGATTTCGATGTTCTTTGAGGTGAATCATCACGTTGGGAACAAGACCGTTTGTGCACCACATTGTTGTAAACAATCCACTTCTCATCACCAGTTATCAGTTGCTTCAAAAAAGAATTATTTTCCTCACATTTAATGAGCATATTGCAGATGTTTATATGTGCTGTCAAATGAATTTCTTTGAGTTCCTGCGGAGCCCAAATGTTGAGCTTGCTTACGTATCCCAGCTTCTTCAGGTGGTCATGAATACTTGAATGATGGATGGTCAATGTTTCTGCAATCTCTCATGTTGTGTAACGTGGGTTTGATTTGATCAATGCCTTTATTTTGTCATCATCAACTTTGGTCGGCCTCCCTGACTGAGGAGCGTCGCTGAGATCAAAATCAACAGCACGGAATTTCGTGAACCATCGTTGGCACTGACGTTCTTGTAGAGCATTG